CACATATATATATATATATATATATATATATATATATATATATATATATATATATATATATATATATATATAACTGCATTACAGCACACTGTACACTCTAATGTAATAATATTTGTCAATCTAAGAATGATTATCACATTTCGTACAGTATGTATTCGACCAGAGCCATTCACTTCAGCCCATGATGAGCAGATAGATTGGTTTCCTCTAATATTTTTTTATTCATTATTGATGAATGAATATCGTTTCCATTATGAATGAGTATTATTGCAAACTGTTCTAAACCTTTTCAATCCAATTTAGAAGACGCTGTATTTAAACTAGATTTTTGAATTTTCTGAAGTGAAATCGGAATACACATTTCTAAAGTTTCAAATTAGGTGTACGTATTGTTTAACTAATATGCATCCTATATGTCTGTGAAAATGTAACATTTTCAGGTGAATATTCAGTCCATTTTATTTCAACTCAATGTTTTTTTTTCCCCTTTCAGGGCCTCCTGAGTATGGAGAGGATTCATGTCATAATTCGCTTCCTTCCTGTTATCTTCAACCAGCTCTTCAAAGTGCTCACCCAAAACGACACTGACGAAGTGACCGCCAGCACCACCAGGTACACAACCCCAGCACTCGCTCTTCTGAATGCAGTCAATCAACACTGCTTTCAGATTTGATTCTCATTTCAACCTCTTTTTCATCAGGGTCCTGGTCCACATCTTAGCTAAGTGCCACGAGGAGAAGCTGGGCCACTGTTTGCACTCTTACATAAAGGTACATTATATGGCTCAAGCTTATGAGTGCAGTGTATCATTTCACTCAAGCATGTCTCAGTTACTGCCGATGGCTAGATCGAGACACTGAACTTGTCTAATAAGCAAGCATAGGTGTAGATGTGTGGGCATGTTCAAAAAACACACACATGACCGCAGTATCCATGTATGGTTGAAGCCAGATTTCCGCAGCTTGAAGATTTTGAGTCTTAAATGTAAAATCAAATCTCTTTTAAACACACTTTAAAATGTTTTTATTTTTATACTGGCAAAAAAAGAGCTGCACATATGTTTTGGCTGTTTTATTAAGTGTATGAAAGATCTGGCCTGTTGCAGCATTCAGCATGTAAATATTTGATAGTCAATCTGTGAAACTGAAGGATGTTGGTCATGCTATAAAAAAGATGATTAAGTCCACCATATACAGCAATTCCTACTGTTTGAAGGCCGTTGTTCCCCGAAGTGATGCATACGGTGATTACACTGTACTGTAAAGAGCTTGTACACTGTACATTATCCCCTACATAAACCTTTCTAAACGAGATTTACAAGGAGGCATATTTTTGTTTATTTTATATAACCAAACCTATGACTAAAGAAAAGGTCGACAAACTCTAGTTTGGTGCGGAGTTCTTGTAGAAACGTGTCATTCATTATGTGTGTGAACGAGAGCATGGGACACATTTGTGTTTCTCTTTTGTTTAACCAGTTTGTCTTTAAGACTGAAGCGTGTGGCTTCAGAACGGTTCACGAAGAGTTGGCCAAGGGCATGACCTCTGACCTGAAGAGCAACGACCAGTCAGTCATACGCAGTATCCTGAAGGTGAGCTCACATGAGCATCTCTCTCTTACAGACGTGACGGACCATTTTAAAGCCTGTCGACTGATATCTGTTTGGTTCCCTGCAGTTCTCGTGGTTCTTTCTCGAGATCATAGTGAAGTCGATGGCGCAGCATCTGCTGGACTCAAATAAGCTTACGGTAAATATTGAGCCAACAGACGTGAACTCAGGCTTAAATCATCGACTCCTATTATATTTTAACAGTGGCCAGTAAACCTAAAATAATGACTTATAATCAGTGTGACGCTATAGTTTGAAGACCAGTTCTCACTATTTACTAGTTGCTTAATAGCATGCATATTACTAGCATATTGGCTGTTTATTATATAAAGCACATATAAATGCCTTATTCTGCATGATCATATTCTAGATCTCTTAATTCTACCCAATACCTAAACTTAACAACTACCTTATCAACTATTAAATTAACAAATTAGTAGTTTATCGAGGCAAAAGTCGTAGTTAATACTTAGTTAATAGTGAGAACTGGTCCGCAAACTAAAGTGTGACCGTATTCAGAACTCTTGGTTTGATTTTACTTAAACTTTTGACATAAATGTAAAATTACACTTGACAATTTTAAGTACAGCTGTGATCTACCTTTAAACATGTTCGCCATAACACCAACAAATCTGAATAAATAAGAGATGTTTCAGAAAGCAGACGTCTTAAGCTTCCTGGGTGCTTGCAACACAGCAGGCTGTGTCTTGTGTTTAATAAGTAATGTATGAATAATGCGTTTGCTCAGCTTCCTCGACCGCAGCGATTTCCTGGATCTTTCCAGAGTCGATTGGAGACCCTGATCATGACGATGTCCGATCACATCTTCTGGAAGAATAAAGAGCTGGCAGAGGAGACACGCAGCGCTAATATGGCCATAGCGGCCTTTGTGAAGGTCAGGAACAACACACTGCTGAGATCATTATGAAAATTTCACTTTTAAATGTGTGCACGACAAAGATTCAAATGAAGTAAATTAAATGCAGAAAATGTTCAACTACATCAATAGGTTCATTTATTTTGTACAGTATATGCATTTGAAATTGGACAGTGTCCCTTTAAATTTTAATTGAAATATATGTATTTCTCATCCTCAGCGGTGCTTCACATTCATGGACAGAGGTTTCACCTTCAAACTGATCAGTAACTACATAAACATGATCACAGCCAGTGACAATAAGGTACCTGAACGTCCTCACTCTTCTTTATGTCTTCAGCTGTGGTAACACTAGACTTTGTGCTTTGATTTCTATTCAAATGGACGCAGAAGACCAGAAACGCAAACTCATCAAGAAGTCTTGCATCTAGTTGTGTATAAAAGTTTGGTGAACACTGACCAGCGAATTTGTACGACAAGAGGATGTGTGACCAGTAGAGGATCTGAACATGACAGATTCAACTCTTGGCTCAATACAAACAACACAAACAGTCGACACAAAAATGAAAAGTCGCGGGTAATTTGCTGTTAATTTGCTCACCCTCAGGCCACCCAAGATGTAGGTGACTCTTTTTCTTCAGCAGAACAGTAAAGAAGATTTTTAGCTGAAACCGCGGTTCCTTGGTGATTCATAAAATGCAAGTCAACAGCTGCCGTCACTTTGAGAGTCAAAAAAAGCATATACTGTACAGGCAACCCAATATTAATACCCGTGGCTCCTGATGATATATATTGAGGTCTTATGAAGTGCAACTGAACATTATTTACAGCATTATTACCTGTAATCCACAGCCTCAGGCAAACAGAAAAATCCGATTATTTTCCACGAACTGATTCTTCCGGACAGGTTTGTTTCAATGGATTGGTTTAAATAATTGATTCACCAGTTAATGTAATCATGCAATGACAAAATGTATATGCAATTATAGTAATAAAGCACCAATAATGATGTGAATGTGAATGTTTTACATGTCTAAAGCATATAAAGTGAATTAACAGGTTCATCCAGTTCACTAAAAAGAATCTGTTCAAAGAACGATTCATTCACAAACTGGACATCACTCTGGACTGTTTGCTTGAAGCTCTGGATTGTAAATAATAGGTTCTTGCTCAGACTGATCGTTTCGCTTCATAAGACCTCAATATATCATCAGGAGGCACGGCTATTAATTTAGCATTTCCTGATAAGCTTTTTTATTCTAAAAAACTGGCAGCCACTGACTTGCATTTTATGGATCACTAAGGAGCACGGTTTCAGCTAAAAGTCTTCATTACTGTTCTACTGAAGAAATACAGTCACCTACACCTACACATCTCTTTAAAGCAGGGGTGGGGAACATTGATCCTGGAAGGCCGGTGTCCCTGCAGAGTTTAGCTCCAACCCTAATCAAAAACACCTGAACCAGCTAATCAAGGTTTTTGGGATGCATTTAGGTTTTTTTTTTCTAGGGTTTTTCAGGGTTGGAACTAAACTCTGAGTGGCCCTCCAGGATCACTCCAGGAGAGTGGCCCTCCCCACCCCTGCTTTAAAGCTACAGGTTTGTGGAAACAAAATTCCTAGAGCGTGAGCTGTTTGTTCCAGTGTAAGAAGATATTTTACTTGCTCAAAGTCTAGTGTGATTACGGCTTTAGCCTTAAAACAAGGACACCACACATTAAAAGATCCTAGTTATGAAGAACTTTTGCTATGTAATGACTGACATCTATTTATGTATCATTTCTGTGTGTTTTTGTCCGGCTGTTTAATTCATTGACCACGTCTGTTCATGAAGCTCGCTGTTGCCAAGATGATCACTAAAGAACCGCTTTCTGTGTGCACAACGTGTCTTGGGTGCAAATGTTATTTTTCCAGACGCTGTGTGAGCTGAAGTTTGAGTTCATTAGGGAAGTGTGTAACTATGAGCACTATTTCCCTCTGAGTCTTCCCATCCCGTCTGCACGAATCACAGGTCAGAGAGCACCACAAACTCCACCTCTGTGTGTCTCATGCACGTAACTTCATGCTTACGTCTTAGTCCTATTAGCATCCAGTAGACCCCGCCACTGATATTCTCTCTGTCTCATTTCTCTCTGTCAGACAAGGCATCACCGGAAACCCAAAGTGCTCCGGGTAACTATTAAGTGTTTTTATTGAACTTTTCTTTCTTATTTGTAAAAGTTTGACCAGTTCCTCAAAGCTGTGGCTTAGTGGATAGCATATGCATTCATGCCAATTTTCTGCATATCCTATAAGTAAATGCTTGGACTTGGATTAAACCACTGGAGTTGTATGGATACATTTTAGACTAACTTTGTATCCTTTCTTCAGCTTAACATTTAAACCCAGTTGACTTTCTTTGAAAGTCAACAGAAACATAAGAACAAAGAAACAGAAACATTCTGCAGTTTCAATTTTGGGTGAACTATTCATTTATAGTACAGTCATAATCCAGTAGCCACTGTAGTGCCATGATTAGATTACCTGACAAATCAATACTTATTTTATCTCCGTAAACCCCCTATTATCGAACATGTTCACTCACAAAATAAATGCATTGTCACACTTTGAATAGAGCATTTCTAGAATGGTATTAGTTGCTGAAATTTTGGTTGCATTTGCATGATGCTGCCTCCAAACCACCTGGTCCCTGTACCGCAAGGCCAGTTTAGGTGGCTAGCAGGGTCATTTTTATATTAGTTTGCACTAGGGATGTGCGCTACGACTAATTTCACTGCTGTTTAAATGAAAATTTTGTGAATGACTTGTCAACTAGTATAAAAATAAGAAACCATTAGAATACAGTCAAGAAAGTTGTTTATATGCGATCCATTTGAAATACTTGAACTATGAATCAAAGTGTCAAATAATCCTAGATATCTTATTATCTGAATTGATCTTGTTTACCATCAAATGGCTAAAATTTGCAAAAATTATGGATGAATGTAAATGCAAATTCACTCTCTGTCAGTAGGTGGCGCTTTTGGACAAGCAGAAATACAGCTGTAAACAAAGCAGCGCTGTACTGATAAACACTATTTTATTAGGCATTATATGGTGATAACATGAAACACTTTTCTGAAGAAAGTCAATTCCCTTTCATTCATAATGTTTCCCGCTTTAAACCAGTAAATCATACGCTCCCACACCTCACTTGTCTTCCAAGTGGACATTCAGTGAAGAAAACGCATGCGTGCAATGCCTGAGGTTTTCACTTCAGATATTCACTTTTCCAAAAAAAAAGTATTATTTTAAAAATGTAAAACATTACAATTTCAACATTTCGACTAGTCGACTAGTATTTCCAATGTTGACTAGCAGCTGCAGTTCAGTTTGGTCCACTAGTCTCGCCCATCCCTAGTTTGCACCAACCCTGAGTTTTAAAGCAGGAAGAAAGTTGGTTAGCTTTAACCAGTGTCCATCACCATAGTAACTTATGCTCCATGGCTAACCTTTAGTGAATGAAAAATTAAGATATCCTTCAAATTTAAAGAAGTAAAAGCAGAAGTTCCCCAAAATACTCAATTTACCTTATACCAACTTATTGTAGATTACACTTATAGTGTGTTCTCGAGTATCAAGAAGGGGGCCGTCATCAACAGTTATGTGGTTTCTTTCTCTTTCTTACCTCTCAGTGGACTTTCCGGAGTATAGTTTGACGGAAGAGTTCTGCAGGAAACATTTTCTCACAGCTTTAAAATTTAAAGAAGTAAAAGCAGAAGTTCCCCAAAATACTCAATTTACCTTATACCAATTTATTGTAGATTACACTTATAGTGTGTACTCGAGTATCAAGAAGGGGGCCGTCATCAACAGTTATGTGGTTTCTTTCTCTTTCTTACCTCTCAGTGGACTTTCTGGAGTATAGTTTGACGGAAGAGTTCTGCAGGAAACATTTTCTCACAGGACTGCTGTTGAGAGAGCTGGGGCTCGCTTTGCAAGACGAGCAAGCCCTGAGACACCTCGCCCTGGCCTGCCTGAAGAACCTCATGGCTAAACATTCATTGGACTCCCGTTATGCCATAAAGGTGAATTTGGACAATGATAGCAATTAAACAAAATATATACTTGTTGTTCACCATTTATGTCTGTGAATTGTAAACTGATTTTAACTGTATTGTGTGTGTGTGTGTGTGTGTAGGAGAAACAGGCACGGATAGCCTCTCTGTACCTGCCTCTTTATGGTCTGATCCTTGACAACATGCCTCGCTTCTTCCTCAGAGATCTGTTTCCAATCTGCCTGACGGCCAGCAACCAGGTAAACATGCTCAGGATGCTCGTTTATCAAATGAAGTGAGACAGCATTGTTCTTATGTTTTTGTCAAGAACTCACATCAGTTGAACAGGAACCGGAATTTCAACAGGGATGTTAAATACTTCATTACTATACGTTATTGGTCATTTTAATTTAGATTGTAAACATATTTGACCTCACAATTCTGCAATTGTTCAGTTAGAATCAAGTATTCCTGAGAGCAATGTAAAGGCCCTTCCTCACTGAATGCAAAGCAAACTGGATCAAAGTTTCAGACAGGGAGTCTCACACTCATCCAGGCCACGCCATATACCCACAACAAATTCTGAAACCACCAGCATTACTTTGAATAATATATTTTTTAATTTTATCCCAGCGTCCTTCTTAACTATTAAAGGAAGGGGTGTAAGAGCGGCACTTGGGCCCAGTATTCTACCAACATAAAAAGACATTGAGAGAGAATAACTGCACTTCCTTATTGAAAGTAGTGCTTGAATTACTGCCAACCCAAACACTGTTCATAGTCACTGGACGGGAGTGCCAGTGTGATGAAGATCACTAGTGATGGAAGCAAAATCCCATATTAAATGCATGTAATATGAGGCCAAACCCGGAAGCTGTGTATTTCGGAAACGGTACGAGGCACCAGTCAACCCTTCATCGTTGCATTCGTCTCAGGGTCAGTTGCCACTGTCCCAGTCACATGTCCAAGGAACATTGTTTCCTGAACTTCTTTGGGTGATGGTGTAGTCTAGCATGACATATGGTCTGGTAGAAGACGTGCAGAGACACTTTAAAGTCCATTACATTAACCAGCAGACCAATGGTCACTGCCAGAGCCCCTGGTTTCTTTGGTCTGGCCTCGGGTGTCAGCTCCATCTGCCAGTACCTGCTTTGGAAGTCAAGGGACCTTAACCATCAGGAGCCAGCGGTTTGGTCCAGGGATCATCATAGCAATGGAATTGCACACAAAACCTCCAGAAAGAGTCCTTTTTCCAAACTAGGACCACTGGATCTCAACTATTCGAGTCGTCTCTGCCATTTCCTAGACTTTTTGCTCCACAGCTTGTTGTTTGACAAGGGTCTTGCAGTGAGGATACAGACGGATAGGTTGTGCATCACCTCTGTCTACTGTGCTCTGCATCAACCCCATCTGCCCACATTCTTTGTCCCAGAGCTGCAAAGATGTTGTGGTATTGATCAAGGATTGCCTTAAAAAGCTGATGTTGGTTGTTACTGAGGCTTGTGCATGTTTTCAAGCTTGTACTTGCACATGTACAGAACAGATTTAGAGAAATGTAGCATTACATGACATCAGCAATACAAGATCTAATCCAAAGTAGAAAATTATTTACTGAGAATGCGCACTAATGCCGAGGTCTCTGGAAAGAGAGCTACATTCTGTGTTGGGGGGTGAGTAGTGCTGGATAACAGTGAGGAAAGGAGCAGGAATCTGTTTCAACAGCCTTCGACACAAACACTTACATAGTCAGGATATTAAGAAATGTGTGATCAAACAGGATACTTTATAAACTTTGCTCATTAAAGCTACTTTGGGGGGAAACAATGCACACAAATCCATATCCAAAATTCAAAATGTATCTGCATTTTCACAACCCCAAGATTTAAAAGAACACTTCCCCGTTATTTTAGACTGAAATTGCATCAACTTCTCTCCCATTCCATGCAATAAATAATAAGATTTCCTTCACAGGGTTCCAGAGATGATGTCAGTGTCGGAGTAGGTTTAGCAGGTCAGGTGACCCATGTTTTACGCCATGGGAACTCGATGGATGCGTCCTTCTCCAAGGAAGTGCTCAACTCCATTACAGGTATAGAGGTGTTGGTGTGCGGATGTGTTTCATAGACTGCTATTCATAGTCTATTCCTCACACAAATCTATCATGCTTTCAGAAGATTTGGAATATATCACAACGACTGCTTTTATGCTGGTTTGCTTTTCCCCAGCCTTTTCGTCATTGGCCGTATCAACCGCTAACAATGCAGACTCCAGAGGCTCTCTCATCAGCATCGAGTCGAACCCCAGCAACAGTGACCGCATCAGTGAGAAGATTGATGGATGTGAAAAGGTAAGTACGTGAATTTTTGACTGACAGCCAGACAGATAGAGCCAACATAATAACACGTGAACAAAAACAGAAACTCAGAACAAAAGATAACAGACAAACAGAATGAATGCATGTTTTTTTCTCATATACCAAGAGAATAATTCTGATTACTGTACTCAGTTTGCCAGGCCGCAGTCTCTCATTGGGTTTGGTGCACGCTTTGACAAACTGGATCAAGCAGAGACCAGAAGTCTGCTCATATGTTTCCTTCACATCATGAAGACCATTTCAGAGGGTGAGACTTTAAATCACCGAACCTTGACAGAAGATGTTTATTGCACATTTTCAAATCTCATGGCCTGTAACATATGATACACTGTTGTGAGGATAATGTGCTCTCCGTGTTGCAGAGGTGCTGGTTTCATACTGGCATCGAGCCATTCACCAGGAGATCAGTGATTTCTTCAATATCCTGGAGTGAGTCACTCTTTTCATAAAGACTAATAAATGGAGGAAGAAAAGAGAAAGAAACGGAATCAAATCCTTGTGTGTTTTCATTATTTTGCGTATTTCTCTTTTGAACAGACTATGTCTCCAACACTTCCGGTTCCTTGGAAAGCGTCACATTGCCAGGTAAGATCTCCCCTCAGTTAGCTGTGTTTTATGTGTGCTCCGATACGTCTGGATGAATGTAAGGGTCACCATTTCTTTTCTTTTCTCTTCTTTCTGTCCCTGATTGTATATATGTGCTCGAAAGAGGGAGAGAGAGAGAGAAGGAATGTTAGAAAATACTCACTTTCATTGAATTCCAGTGCTCTGAAATAAACATCTCTCAGAGAATCAAATTATAATGCATTATGTGTAATTTAGTCAAATGAAAGAATTGGTTCTGATGGTTCTGGGGAGTTTTTGCCAGGCTCTGCATTGACTTTGACAAGCCAGTGTTTTCAATTACACTGGGTTCATTAAATCAAGCCTGAAAGTTATAGGACATTCCTGCTTTGGCAATAAATGTCAAATTTCATTTCTGAAAAAGCCACTCTCTTTAGCTTGTTTTTGTTTTCTAAATAATAAATGGTATATTTAAACTACAAAACTGCTTTTATCCCAGCATAACATGATCAGTCACAAACTTGCTGACTTGATTATATAATACTGTACTTAGTACGCAATGTCTTAAATAATTCTGATTCATTTTGTCATAATATTTGTTTTAAGCTTTTCAAAATCATGAAAATATCAAATTTTATTTGAATACAAAATTTTGAATTTGGTATTCTCTACTGAACCGTGGCTATATGTGATCTTTTCCCTTAAAGGGGTCATATGATGCAATTTCAAATTGTCCTTTCTCTTTGGAGTGTTACAAGCTGTTCGTGCATAGATAAGATCCCTGAAGTTGCAAAGACTAAAGTCTCAAACCCAAAGAGATATTCTTTATAAAAGTTAAGACTTGTCCACGCCCTCCTAAAACGCCTCATTTAAACACGCCCCCACATGTCTACATCACGATGTGGGAAGATTTGCATAACGCCGCCCAAATGTTCATGCAAAGAAAGAAGGCGTAACTTTGATTCTCGCTGTAGTATTGTTGCTGCCGCCGCCGCCATGTCGTGAAGATGCTGTGTTTGGCCTGCCAAAAGAGGACGACATCCGCTAGATAACCTGCCTAGATCTGATCCATGCTGGTCGCTGAGAAAATACATCAACTTCGCTGTGGATCAGCTTTCACCGTGGACGAAGCGGAGTCCAGCCCGGGGTCGTCACATGTGGTTGCCGCAAGCCCGCCGGATGCTCCTTCGTCGAATCCGCCGGCCGCACCGTTCTCAAGCCCTCAGCCTCCACTCACTCAATCCCGCCATGTCGTGAAGATGCTGTGTGTTTCATTGTGAAAGCGAAAATACTTTGTTTGGTCTTCCAAAAGAGAACACGACTAGAAATCAGTGGTTAAGTTGTATTACAACACTGTTCCAGAACACTTCAACCCAAATATTCCGATGTGTGCAGCACATTTTATGGAGGACTGTTTCCTGATCCTGGTAAAGTAACGTTAGCCTACAATGCATCTGTGGCACAAAGGCTGTTTCTGTAAAGTTGGGCAGTTCCAACTTTGCAAGGACAGTCTGGCGCTTCTGACTCACAGCCTGTAAGTATGTTTTTTTTATATTTAAAGAATTTGCCACTGATGATTCAAACGCGAGTTTTGAGCAGTGTAGAGTAGCGCTTGTTGTTTGTCGTTCCTCCGATCCCAAATGCAGACATGGTTTTGTTTAAGCGGCACGATGCAACGCGTAAAAAGACAGTATAAGTCATTATAATCAGTAATTATGTCCCCACTGGATGCAACAAATGCCTCGTTTGTAATGGGTTTTAATGTTTTTGTCTCGTCGCTCCGGCCGGACAGGGCATCACAGTATGGTGAGGGGCGTAACATTTCCGTCTCACGCTTGAGGTATTCGGCCAATCACAACACACTGGATAGCTGGCCAATCAGAGCACACCTCGCTTTTCAGACCGATGAGCTTTGTAAAAATCGACGCGTTTCAGAAAGGCATAGAGGAGAAACAATAATGTACAGTATGTGGAAAATTATGTGTTTTTTTAACCTTAAAATACAAAAACACATTGCATTACACCAAATACACCAAATAATGTTCTTTTTACCAGCATCATATGACCCCTTTAATGTTTTGCATCACTTTCGTTGTGATTAGTGTGTGATTTTAAGGACCCTGTATTCCTAGATGAGTTCTCAAACATACTTACTTTTATTCTGAAAGCTAATATCAAGAAATACAGCAGAAATATAGAAATACAGTGTGAGATGTCATCCCATTCAATCCTGTAATGTGACTGAAGCAAAATGGATTTAACTTGCTTGATTCACAGTACTGATGGGAGAAACACACTTTTTTGAAACTTTAAATCGATTGAACCAATGGCTTTGCAAAATGATTCGCTGTTCTGAAGTGCTCAAAACGCCACATGCTGGGGATAGAATGTGTAAATGCAACAAAAACATGCATAAAAACATCTTTTACAAACCAATTGCAAATGCTTTATTGAAAGTGAAGTCTATGAAATGCAATTGACAAATCACCAAATACCATTAAATATGAAGTTTCTGTATGATATGTGCTACTGTACTTTATTAATGTGCAGGGCTTGTTTCGTTTGTTTTATGGAGGGCTTGGCTAATAAGAGACTCATGCTCATTTTTATTATGCAAACTTATGATCAACAGTGTCTACAAATGTATACAACTGATCTGAGATCAGCTAAAAACCACTGATTCACATGGTCTAAACATTTCGACAACAGTTATGATGTAACAAAGCCTCGTTTACTGAAATCACACGACTTTGGCAGTTTGATATGTGCTCTGAACCACTGGTTGAAACATAATGATTCGTTGAAGCTTCACGAAGCAGATCTTCGAGAGCACCCATCACTAATTCACAGTGCAGTCAGTAACAGATTGCAAATGCATGATGTAACTGGTTTTTGTGTGTTTGCTGGACAGGTCTAGTATAAGGAATATTTTTGCTCAGGTGCCTGAAGGAACAAAAACTGGAGTACTCTATACTAGTATATAGTGCTGAAAGTACTATATAATGACTGCTGTAGCATATGACTAACTAGCAGCCTGTAGTGTCATGCCTGTTTTATTCCCACACCGTGTGTTGTCTTTGTATTCGGATACGTGTTTAATCTTTCATCTCTCCCTCATCACGCTCTCTGTTCCCACTTTCATGTTTTCCTCTGTCTGCCTTCCATACATAACAACCTCTAAAGATGACACCACCAGCATCTAACATCTGACATTTAGTATCACGATACTTGTCCTGCTCTGAAAAACTCCCCTAGAAGCTTGGCTTTCATTTTCCTGTCTGTAATGGCTGTGAGGATGAAGGTTGGCGTTAACCCTGCTCTAATTGGCTTGTTGTGTGCGCAGGAAGCTAGCGGCCGCCATTAAGCTGGCTCAGGCCACACAGAACAATGGCACCCTGAAGGGGTCTAACGTGTCTTGCCAGTCTTCAGGGCTCCTACCCCAATGGTAAACACCTAACAGGTCTACACAGAGCTCCCAAAAATGCCTTAAAAATAAAGCTTCTATATCGGCGTCTGCGGTTCCGTGAAGAACCCCAAATATCAGTGGAACCTTTGCATTGCACAAAAGGGTCTTTTCACTGGAAAATGGTATTTAAATGTTCACATGAACCCAAAATGATTCTTCTGTGGCTGTGAAAACCCCCTTTTAGAAGCTTTATTTCTAAGAGTGTGACACTAAATGTGAAGTGCATAGAATTAATTATTGCAATAAATGCATTTCTTAGCTAAATGATTTTTAACCCCAAGTATAACGTTCTAAAACACACTCACACACGCACAAAGCATTTGTCCCACTTTATATCAGGTGTGTTTAACTGCTATGTTATGTAACACATTAATTGTCTGGTACAGTGTACTTATTGTGTTCATGTTGTCTTGCAGAACACTTTCGCTGCTATCGAGGTTAGGGACAGGTTTAGGGGTCTAGTTAGGTTTAAAACTGGATTAAGGGGTAGAAGTAGGGTCAACGTGTAATAATAGTGTAATAACTACAGAAATTTATTTCATGCAGGTATTTTAAAATGTAAGTGCAATGTAAAAATATGTATGTACACAGTGAGTGCATTGTATCAAGTGATTAATTTAAATATTAGTACATAGTACTTAAATACTCTTCTTATAAAGTGGGTCTGTCTTGTGTAAAAATCATAGTTCATCATGTTACATCCATAGTGTGGGAACCATTAATGTCTGTATCCAGCAAGCCCGTCTCATTCACCTACAGGCTTTCTGCAGCTCTTCAAACGGTCAAGAAAGTGGAGATATAAGAGGGGGACTGAATTGAATAGTTTTCTCTGTTATTGTCATGACCTCTCTGGATTATGTTATTGCTAACCGATGAAACCGCTGCTGTTCCCAGGATGCTCTCTGCTCAGGACGGGCACAGACACGCCCGCTCACAGACCATGCCCATCATCAGGGGGAAGAACGCCCTCACCAACCCCAAACTGCTGCACATGATGGAGACAGGTAACACACACTCACCACAACCACCTGGGAAAACCTGCGATGTGTGTTTTAGATACATACAGCACAATTACAATCACTGAATTTAATCAAAATATGTGTATCATAACTTTATTGTGTGTGTGTGTGTGTGTGTGTGTGTGTGTTTGTGTGTGTCTGTGTGTGTGTGTCTGTGTGTGTGTGTGTGTGCGTGCGTGTGTGCGTGCGCGTGTGTCTGTGTGTGTGTGCGTGTCTGTCTGTGTCTGTGTGTGTGTCTGTGTGTGTGTGTGTGTGTGCGTGTGCGTGTTAGATGGAAATGCATCTGAAGGAGAAAACGTCAGCCCCACAGATATTGAAGCCAATCTTTCTACTGAAGTCGCTCTGACTGTGTTGGATATTCTGGATCTGTTTGTTCATCATCACAAGGTAATATTGATACAGATATATGATGTGGAAATATATCCCAGTGTACACTCTGAACATAATATTATACCACACAAGAGAATACATACTTACTTCATATTTACTAGAAGTATATGAATTGGGATTAGTGCTTGATGATATATCTTAAAAATCTTTAAAAAGTATTTTTGTAGTCTGTTGCAATATTTAATATCTTACATGCACAAACATGAACACTAGGATAATTTATATTAAAGTATATGTAGATATTTTCATATGGATCAATGACAAGGCAGGGTGTGGTGTCTGAGATAATAAAAAGGAGAACATCTTTTAAAAAAAATTGTTTTAAACACTTTAGAAATCTATGAATGTTGGTTTTGTAAATTTTTGAAACAAAAATGTTTAAAACATTTTCTACAATTTGATTGTAAGGTTATGTAACCATCATATAAGAAATACATACAAATTTAAGTACAAAAATACTTTAATTGTACCTGAAGTGTGCACAATTAAATTGTTATTCAAACTTATTTTAAAGATTATTTATTTAGCACTGACTTTGATTGGGTGGACAAAAGTATTTCAGATATGAGTAATATCTCTAAACAAAAACGCTTCACAAGATTATGTTAAACTACATATGCCAACATTAACTTAAGTTTAACATCAATTTAGATATCAATCAATTATGCTATTAAAATGACCGAACACTGTCCTATTTGAGAAAAAAATAGAAAAGTATGCTACTGGCCAAAAATCACTGCAGTATTCACAATCTGTCTGTATCTGTTCAATTCATTCTGATTGTAAGGAGGTAATGTTGTCATCTAGTGGACACGTGGTGTGTTTTCTTTAAGATGACTAACTCCTGCTGTCTTCTCTTCTACTGCAGAAACGGTTGCAGCACGATGAAGGGCAAAACTCTCTGATGAAAAAAGTGTTTGACACGTACCTGCTGTTCTTCCAGATCAGCCAGTCCACCAGCACCCTCAGACACGTCTTCACCGCCCTGCGCCTCTTCATTCACAAGGTTTCACTCTCTCTCTTCATAAATGTTCAAATCGTCGTTCTTCCCAACAGTGGCAGCAGGGGTGCCAGGTTTTCACAAGAAAACCCGCCCAATCGCGTTTCGGGGGGGGGTCCCCATTTAAAAATCACATTCTGGGGGGTAAAATTCAAGTTTTTTGGTAGGGTTCCCCTGCTAAAATTCACATTTCAGGGGATATATATCATGTTATTGGAGTCGCTTCAACCCGCGGACATGAAAAACAACAACAGTGTTAAATTAGCCCAATTCCGCGGGAAAACCAGCTTCCCCGCGAGTGGGCGTGGTTTCAGCACCGACAGCAGACACGCCCCCAGCGTTTGAGAGCAGAGAATACTGCTTATCTTTTCAAGATTTTGATACCTTATTTTATTTACTTGCCGGGTTTTTTTATCATTCAAATTTGGCTGGGTGGTTAATAACACATTTTTCTGTGGTGTGACAAACTCAGAACACATATTTAATATTGCTTTACACAGACTTTAATATGGAACAACCATCCCCTTTTCGCAGTGAAACTATGGAATTCACCCATTTTCTGATTTCTAGGAGCTAAGCACTGAAGGTGCGTTCTGTTCAGGAGTCTATGGCAGCCCATAGAACCGCTTGTGGGAAAGTTATGAGATTTGGCACACAGATAGAGGACAGTCTCAACATTAATCATCGCAAGTTTGGAGTCTCTAACTTAAACTCTCTAGCGCCACCGCTTGTCCAAAGTTTCACTCGTGTTCATGCTAATAATTTTTGAACCGTAAATTTCAGAAGCAATTTTTTCCCTCTGATTCCTTGGCTCATGCCTTGTCAAATGCATGTCAAAATTTACATTTCTATGGGTCAAGATTTTTCACACAAAAAAAATTCAAATTTTCAAATATACGAAAAACCTACTTTTTCAAACTCATTCTAGACAGTTTGTCTGATTTTCACCAAAATTGGCTCAGATCATCTTCAGACCATGTTGGCAAAAATTTATGGAATTCAAGTTGATTAGTCAAAACGTTCTCGAAAAACGCTCAATCAAATTTGATGAAGAGTACTCCAAAATGGACATGAGGGTATATCTCTGCAATGCTTTAGCGTATTCAAACCAAACTTGATGTGTTTTATAATAACTATGACCTGAGGCTACCTGCACAGTTTTGGTGCAGTGCCACCTAGTGGTTTTCAAACTCATTCTAGACAGTTTGTCTGATTTTCACCAAAATTGGCTCAGATCATCTTCAGACCATGTTGGCAAAAATTTATGGAATTCAAGTTGATTAGTCAAAACGTTCTCGAAAAACGCTCAAACAAATTTGATGAAGAGTACTCCAAAATGGACATGAGGGTATATCTCTGCAATGCTTTAGCGTATTCAAACCAAACTTGGTGTGTTTTATAATAACTATGACCTGAGGCTACCTGCACAGTTTTGGTGCAGTGCCACCTAGTGGTCGGGAGATATGAAAAATGCTTATTTTTGCTTATAACTTCTGAACTTTTGCCTGTTATCATGGGACTGGTCTTAATAGATTCCTTGGATCATGCCGAGAACATCAATACCAATTATGAATCAGTCAAACTTCCTGTCCGTTGACTGTATCTCTGCAAAGCTTTGGCATATTAACACAAAACTTTGAATGTGTCATTGTCATCTCACACTGAACACACCACATCAATTTGATTATAGCGCCACGTATTGGTCAAAAGTGATAAATCTTTAAATCATATTACTAGTGGTTGCATTCATGGTTTTTTCAAATGGCTTTAATTACTTAATTGCTGCTTGCAGTTATATTTCAATTTTTAATTATTGTGTTCACCTGTGGTGTGTTACCCGGTGTATTTAAACCCCTTTAGTAGACCAAAACCTACCAAAGAACATATTAGTCATAAATTGTGCAATTCTAACAACTTTACCTCAGTGGGGAACTCTGGAAGTTTAACTGGGATGCTTGAAAGCGTTTTTTTTTTCCAGAATTTTTTTGTGGAGACAGATAAATGAAACATTACTTGAATTAAGCCACCACACCAAAAATAAGAGGAACAAAATTACAGTTTGATTTCATGTTTTATGACAGGTGCAGTTTTACAGAGCCAATGACATCTGATGGTCATGATGATCTCCTCTTGTTCAAATTCACACATAAAACATCTAAATAACCCTATTGTTCATAAGGACAAAAATATATGCTTTAGAATGCAAAATACAGTTTCACAACCTATAAGAATGATCTTGGCCATTTAACATTGGCAGGTCTGGCAAAAACTAAATTTGGGACCCTGTGTACAGAATGTAAAAGTGACCACATTGTGTAGGCAAACGTTTTAGGCTTGAATCCATTGTGCTCAATCCCTTTTTTTTATCTTCATGCAAAGTTTTAATATAGTCGTAATCATTTTGGAGGGTTCATTAAAAAGCAACAACACTGAAACTAAACTCACTGATCTCTGACTCTCACGCTCTTTCTCTTCAGTTCCCGTCCGTGTTTTTCCAGGGTAAAGCGGATCTGTGTGGGAGTCTGTGTTATGAGATCCTGAAGTGCTGCAACCATCGCTCCAGCTCCACACAGACCGAAGCCGCCGCGCTGCTCTACTTCCTCATGAGGAGGAACTTTGAGTTTACAAAGAGCAAATGCATCGTCCGCTCACACCTGCAGGTCAGTCTTCTGTTATTCTGCTCTTCTGATGTGTGGGTGTCTGTATTTGGGTTACGCTTTATTTCGATTGTCCACTTTAGACATTCTACTAACTATAAGTCACTTTGCAGCTACATGTCAACTGACTCTCATTCATTTGTAATTTACAACAGCATTTTAGTGCAACATATAAATAAATAAATAAATAAGTTTACGAGATTAAAGTTATAATATTTTGAGAATAAAGTTGTATTTTGAGAATAAAGTCAAAATTACAAGAATAAATTAATAGCAATACAAGATTGAAGTTGTAATATTTTAAGGATAGTCAATATTTTCAAAATAAAGTCAATATTTTGAGAATGAAGTCATTGTATTTTGAGAATAGAGTCAAAATTACGAGATTAAAGTCGTAATATTTTGAGAATAAAGTTGTATTTTGAGAAAAAAGTCAAAATTACAAGAAAAAAATCTTATCAATACAAGATTGGAGTTGTAATATTTTAAGAAGAAAGTCAATATTTTCTAAATAAAGTCAGTATTTTGAGAATGAAGTCATTGTGTTTTGAGAATAGAGTCAAAATTATGAGATTAAAGTCGTAATATTTTGAGAATAAAGTTGTATTTTGAGAAAAAAGTCAAAATTACAAGAAAAAAATCTTATCAATACAAGATTGGAGTTGTAATATTTTAAGAAGAAAGTCAATATTTTCTAAATATTAGACATTCTACTAACTATAAGTCACTTTGCAGCTACTTGTCAACTGACTCTCATTCATTTGTAATTTACAACAGCATTTTAGTGCAACATATAAATAAATAAATAAGTTTACGAGATTAAAGTTATAATATTTTGAGAATAAAGTTGTATTTTGAGAAAAAAGTCAAAATTACAAGAAAAAAATCTTATCAATACAAGATTGGAGTTGTAATATTTTAAGAAGAAAGTCAATATTTTCTAAATAAAGTCAGTACTTGAGAATGAAGTCATTGTGTTTTGAGAATAGAGTCAAAATTATGAGATTAAAGTCGTAATTTTGAGAATAAAGTTGTATTTTGAGAAAAAAGCCAAAATTACAAGAAAAAAATCTTCAGAGTACAGTTCATTAAAAATTTCCTTGGATCTTGTACTCCCTTGCTGTGAGAGTTTGAATAATACAGCGTGACAAGTATATTGCGTGAATAAAATTAATTAATGTTAAAATCCACCTACAGTACTCTGCAAAAAACATCTGTGGCGTCCAACCTGTCATTCTTCACATTGTATTTAACATTAAAAACAGCAATAAAAACTTCTGAAGGTTGAACTGGGCTCCAACGCATTCATTTAAGTTATAATATTGTTGTTGTTTTTTCTGAGGTAAATAATGTTATGTGACTATTCACAAGCTGTTTTATTGACAGTATACATGCTTGGAAATAATACTTCACGTCTTCAAGCGTTTCACATTATCAAAATATTATGACTGTAATCTCGTAGTTTTAGATTTTTTATTTTACATGCCACTAAAACACTGCCATATAACTACATGTAAACTAACTTTCATTAGTGTATTAGTAGACTGTTAGGTTAGGGTTAGAGTTAGTAGAATAAGTTGATATGTACTTACCAAGTCACTTATAGTCAGTAGACTGTCCATCAAAATAAAGTGTTAGCAGATTCAAAATTACAAGAAAAAAATCTTATCAATACAAGATTGGAGTTGTAATATTTTAAGAAGAAAGTCAATATTTTCTAAATAAAGTCAGTATTTTGAGAATGAAGTCATTGTGTTTTGAGAATAGAGTCAAAATTATGAGATTAAAGTCGTAATATTTTGAGAATAAAGTTGTATTTTGAGAAAAAAGCCAAAATTACAAGAAAAAAATCTTCAGAGTACAGTCCATTAAAAATTTCCTTGGATCTTGTACTCCCTTGCTGTGAGAGTTTGAATAATACAGCGTGACAAGTATATTGCGTGAATAAAATTAATTAATGTTAAAATCCACCTACAGTACTCTGCAAAAAACATCTGTGGCGTCCAACCTGTCATTCTTCACATTGTATTTAACATTAAAAACAGCAATAAAAACTTCTGAAGGTTGAACTGGGCTCCAACGCATTCATTTAAGTTATAATATTGTTGTTGTTTTTTCTGAGGTAAATAATGTTATGTGACTATTCACAAGCTGTTTTATTGACAGTATACATGCTTGGAAATAATACTTCACGTCTTCAAGCGTTTCACATTATCAAAATATTATGACTGTAATCTCGTAGTTTTAGATTTTTTATTTTACATGCCACTAAAACACTGCCATATAACTACATGTAAACTAACTTTCATTAGTGTATTAGTAGACTGTTAGGTTAGGGTTAGAGTTAGTAGAATAAGTTGATATGTACTTACCAAGTCACTTATAGTCAGTAGACTGTCCATCAAAATAAAGTGTTAGCAGATATTAAGCACTCTAATGATGAGTTTGCAGAGTTATTATAGTCAGTAGACTGTCTAAAGTGGACCATCAGAATAAAGTGTTAGCCTGTATCTGTGTGCCAGATGTGGAGGTGTATGACTGGCTGGTTTGAGGTTTGAATGTGAGAAACAGACATTGAAGCTGATTTGGATTCTTGTCTTCTTCTCCTCCAGGTGATTAAAGCTGTAAGTCAGCTGATCGCTGATGCAGGTATCGGTGGTTCACGCTTCCAGCAGTCTCTGGCCATCATCAACAACTTCGCCAATGGAGACGCGCCACTTAAAGTGAGAGTTTAGCAAAGATAACACTTTAAGGCTGCGCTATTGCAAAAATAGTGGGAGATTTCAAACCACAAAATCAAAATATGAACTTAGCTGCTGAAATTGTTTTCGATTCCGTTTGATTCATTCACTGGATCGTTTGCAGCGCTTTCTCACACTGAAATAGTATTTTATAAGACAGAAAACAAAAAGAATTATATGCAAGCCAATGTAGAAAATGCCATCTATCATTCGTTTACAACGAACCAGCTCTTTATTGCATGTGCATCTTATGAACAACTCAGTCCTGCACGTAAAGATGATTTATATCCATTTATATCCAACACCATATCAATATCAAAGTATGGGCACACTTTTTTGCTCCGGGGTCCTGTGCCCCTGAACTGATGAATGGCTAGAAATGTCCCTGTTTTGAAGTAAATGAAGATTAAACGTGGCAAAACACCTCAAGAAGCCATAGTTAAATGCATGCAAACAAGATTTGAGAGCAACGGTGCAGGACCATTTTAGTCATGAAAGACAACCTCGTGCTGTATCGTTACAAAAGCATAATGTTAAACAACAGATCTTTTGCTTTCTTCCAGAACACAACACTCCCGGCTGAGGTGAAGGACCTGACCAAGAGGATACGCACCGTCCTGATGGCCACCTCCCAAATGAAAGAGCATGAAAAGGACCCGGAGATGTTGGTGGACCTGCAGTACAGCCTCGCCAACTCCTACGCCAGCACACCTGAGCTCAGATGCACCTGGCTAGAGAGCATGGCCAAGATCCACGTTAGGAACGGAGACCTGTCTGAGGTCCGAATTACATCATCCAGAGGATCTTTTTATTAGCTTGTGTAACACAAAACAAGATGCTAGAAGAAGACACAATTTACTATATACAATGAATGAGAATGATGATTGTCGGTCCCTAACGGTCCCTAAAAACATGAGGGTGTGAATTTTCATTTTTGAGGGAACTATTCCTTTGGGCTAAGGGTCAGTTCAATCAAAAATGAAAATTTGCTGAAAATGTGCTCACTCTCAGGCCATCCAAGATTAGGATGAGTTTGTTTCTTCATCAGGTTTGGAGAAATGTAGCATTGCATCAGTGTCTCAGCAATGGATGCTCTGCAGTGAATGGGTGCCGTCAGAATGAGAGCTGATAAAAACATCACAATAATCCACAAGTAATCCACAGCACTCCAGTCCATCAGTTAATGTCTTGTGAAGCCAAAAGATGCGTGTTTGTAAGAAACAAATCCATTATTAAGACTTATTTTAATTAAAATTTGTGTCCATGATACATAATAACGCTTCCTCCAGTGAAAAGGTCATCTGGTCTGAATCAGGAGAGAAATCTGCACAGATTAAACACCGTTTACAAGCCAAAACAGCTCTAAACAAATATGTGGGTTGATTTGATGTGAGAGACAACATGAGATGGACTTTTTCATTAAAGGGAACGTTATTATGAATTATGGACTTGTATTTTGGCCAGAAGCGACGGTTTGAAGTTAAAAACATCTTAATGATGGATTTGCTTCTTACAAACATGCAGCTTTTGGCTTCATAAGACATTAACTGATGGACTGGAGTGCTGTGGATTATTGTGATGCTTTTATCAGCTGTTTGGACTCTCATTCTGACGGCACCCATTCACTGCAGAGCATTCATTGCTGAGACTGGGTCAACTGTTTCTTTAAAGCTTCATTCATGCAGATGTCAGTGCCTCAGATTTGAATTGGTCTGAAAGAGACTAGTGCTTTTGTTAATTAAAAATGACATTTTGAAAACACTTTTCATTGTCCACTTCAGGCGGCCATGTGCTATATCCACATCTCAGCCCTCATAGCAGAGTCTCTGCGGAGGAGAGGTGAGCACCTGCTTGTGGCGATCAGTATTTCAGTAATCCCTGCTATCAATGTGCGCCTAACATCAATGTGATAGTCTCTCAATTTTTATTTTGCAAACATTGCGTAAATAGCCTTCCTATTGAGCTTTCGTTTGACGTGCTGTTTGACCATTGCTGCTCAGTTCTTGTTGTTTTTTTCAGTGCTGCACTTCATAATGAAAAATGCTCATTCCTGCCACTTGCTTTATTCCTTATACTGTGAGTTTTTGTGGCCTTGTCATTAGATGCATTCTAGCTGATTGTGCGTGCATGCTGGCGTAGATACATGATTTACAGTAGACGCATGGCTGGAGCACTTGCCTTCGCTCTAAGTTTGAAATAGGGGTGAGCAGTGTGAACAAAATTATTATTACATTATGGCTAATTGAATATAATGTTAACAGTATATATCATAATGTAGCTATTTTTACTGAAAATTCAATTAACGGCTGTGGATTTTTATAAATGCTACTTCATATCACTTCATTATTATTAACATTATAGCAAAATCTCCACCGACTGACGCTTGCACGGTGCATCCCGTCATACTGCTCAGCCCTAGGTTACGAGTAAACCTGTGTTAAACCTGATGCCACTCTGCAATCACAGGTTACTGGAAGTCTGAGAAGGGTCGGATCTCAAGTGTGAGCAAAGAGGGAGCCTGTGTAATTAACTCTAGCCCCTTACTAACTCCCCACGATGGAGAAAGTGAGTGCACCTCTGCCTGCCCCTAAAATGTCTAGGTAGAAGATTTTAGTTACATACTTGGCCTTTTCCAGAGGCTAAGCTTTGCATCCTTGGTGTCCAGTCAGTCGGTGACTTCACACTGCAAAAATCATTTTCTTACTCACTGTTTTATCTTGTTTTACGAAAATACGAAGATTAATGTGTTAATAG